CTATTTCCGTCGGGCCCGCAAAATTTAAATGGAGGTTCCCCCCATTTCAAGCACGCATAAGGAAATTTAAATTTTTAATTTCCTGGCTGCTTCCGTACATGCATATTTTTTTAATCAGAAGCGCCATCACGAACCTGAAGTTTTTTTCGTAAATTCATCTTCAAAAGAGGCCCTGACCAGTAAATTTAGAAACAGGGGGCTGGCCATTTCGACTCCCAGGGGACGGTTCAACCGGATGAAGGCTTGATCTGATTTTCCGGTACGGTGATATTTTCAGGGCACTAAGTATTTTGAAATTGTTAATTAGAAAACAATGGATATTATTAGGGACCTTTGGCCCCAAAGCCCTCACCCCATCCATTTACAGGCAGCACTGGCTTGGCAAGGGGAGCCCTCGGCTGAAGCGGGTTTTTACAACCACCACCTTGAAGCCGTAGGAGTTTGGCCCGCACATCCATTTCCCTTCCGAACAATATCGGGCCGGTTTTCGGATTCTTTTGTTTTGATTCGGGTAGTCCTGAATTTCGGCCGAACAAGGAAAGCGGATTAACGTGGATTTTTTCCGGTTCGCAAGCAAAAGGGCTTGGGCGAATCGAATCGTGAATTTTTATTTTAGTTTGAACCTTTTATACCTCGCCCGTGACCCTTTTATACCTTAGGAGGAATGTATTTTTTCACAATTTTTTATTATTATTCAAACAGTTTTCTATTCACGTAAATTTTTTATTTCTGTTCAACACACCACCCCAGCCAATTCCCCCCACCCCATATTTTTGAATTTCGTGTGCATTTTTGCGGAAAAAATGAAACCCCAGGAGGCTGCACCGGTAGAGCCGGAACCGCTTGTGCGAGACGCAGCGGACTACAGGGCCGCCAACCGCCTTGTAGACGTGGTCAGCCGCTTCGATGGTTGTCGCGTCCTGATCCCCTTACGTCAGCCGACCAGTTGGCGCCACTCCACTTACTGATGACCTGCCCCCGAACTGAAATCTGAACTGAACCTTGCAAATTCAAAAACTGTTTTGGTAGTATCACCTCTTCGTCTCCGACAAGTCCTCTAACGAGGCCAATCAAGCCCTTCCCTGAAGGTCAATCAAGTCCCTTAACAAAGCAAACCCAATTCGGAAGAAAGCAAGAGCAACATGGCACACCAACTCCCAGCCATTGAAGACCAACAGGTCGATCATAGGCGAAACGGTCTGGACCATCAAGCATCCTTCGACCTACAATGATGCACATATTGCGGGAAGATTGGACATCACTGGACGCGCCCCTGTCGCCGCCGCTGATCTTCAAAACTTCAAGCCTTCAAATCTCCGATAAAAGGAAAGAGAAAATTTGCTTCAGGCGGTAAATGTCGGATTACATTTTACCCGAAGTCAAGTCACGGTTCATTCGCAGTTCCCCAAGAGAGTTGATGAAACGGAACGCTTTTTATCCAAAAAAAGTATAACTATATTTCCAAATTAAAAAATGTGATTGAAAGTTTGTAGAATTAAAAAAAGGCGGGGGTATAAAAGGGCAAAAGCCAACTGGGCTTCAATAATAATAATAACCCCTACGAAATGGACATCAAGTCCGTCAAATACCGACCTAGACGACTCCCAGTTAGAGACCCGATTCTTCTAGAGAGAGGCGCTACCTATTACGCTTTTCACTGTAGCCAAAATCTACAAAAATAATACCGCGGTCATAAGACAGTACAATTCCCAGGACCCCGCCCGGATCGGCAGCGACTCGGATAGTCGATGAGCGCCTCCCCTTTTACCTTGGCTGTAGCCGCCCCCACGATCCCTCATAAAAGTCCCCCAAAGTATAATATAAACCGCACTGAAGAACCCAGATTAAATTTATGGTAGGTAAATAGTCGCGCCGCATGGATGTCCCACCGAGATGGCATCCAATTTTACGCTAACTAATTCGGTTGTTCTACCGCAGTTTCATTTGGAAACCCGTATCGGTCAATGAAACCGATGCGCGAGCCTCAGAAATTTGTCAAAAAAAACTCTGAGACCAGAACACGCAGGAACGATAATACGGCACGACGTTCCAAAAGAATATGCGGATTTTGGTTCTTGGACGTGCCTGAATTTTGGGCTGAGCATCACAACAAAAAAAAAGACCGCCTATACATTGGATGCACGAAGGTCTATTTCATAGTAGCGAAACTGATGCCGACGAACAGCAAACTCGTTGAGCGAATGGGCGGAACAATATGAAGATAAGGATTGGGAGACAGTCTTGTTCATGGTAGGCTGTGTCATCCCTCTCATAACTAGTTATAACCCAGCAAAAAACTCCCTTTGTACGCGGATCCCGAGGTCTTGGCTTGAAGTTCCACGAATTCGCCAAATCGGAGTATAAAAGGATGGGCCGTTGGTATAATACATCCATGGGCTTGTCTTCCCCATAACCCAAACTCATTGCAATCTAGGCTTCCAAGATCCTTCTGATCTAGAACAGACGGGTCCTGTCGCCGCACTGACCATCTACGTCACGCGGTAGGAAAATATCCAATCCCCGGTTTATCCAGCTATTTTTCGGTCCTATGCCATTCTCAAATGGTACTCTGTAGAGACCTCCTTGACTGGTATCATGACTGAATACTGGAGTGGTTCGGCAACCATGCTTTCCAGCTTTGCCCCTCTATGGTAACATTCCAGGCCGCTATCTGCAGCGCGTTCTTAGGTGCATAAAAGAAACCTTGAGGAAGCCTTTATCGAGTCTTCTCACACCAGCTTCTCCCTGAATACGCACTTGACCCGGCAGCAACCTTGGCTCTACTACGTGACGAGGTGAGGTTCCTGCCTTGCATGGTTGGTTATGCTACCGTAAACGGGTATGCACCCAGTACCACACCCACTGCTAGTTTTGGCCTCATCCCACATCGGAACCCGCGTCCACACCACCGGCGAAAAAAGCCAAATAATCTCACCCGGCACAGATCCCGGTTGTTGAATAAAACCAGTATTGATGATCCAGCGACCCACACATTCAACCTAAGCACACATCAGTCTTCACAACACCATGGACCGGCTACGCGTCCACGCAAGGTTGGTAACTTGGGTTCTATACCGGCAGCGGGGATTTTTCCAGAAATCGGGGATTTTCCCGGAATCGGCCATTTTTCCAGGAATCGGGGATTTTTCCAGGAATCGAGGAATTTTCCGGGAATCGAGAATTTTCCGGGAATCGAGGGATTTTTCCCGGAATAGGGGATTTTTGCCAGGGATCACCGGAACAATTAAAAACAGGCAAATTGGCCGAATTTTGGGGCAATCGAAATCGGGGATTTTTGAACTGGCTGTTTGGGCGGGGCCAAAATTCCCGATTTCAAAACCTTCTGGAAATACCGAAAAATACTGTTTCCAAACCCTGTTATGCATATGTTTGCCATTTCCACCCTAATTTGTGTTTTTTCGGTGTTTAATCCACCAATTGCGATTCACGAAGCTAATAAAACAGGCAATTTATTGATAGGGAAGTTGAAGATGGCATTTAGTGCTTGGTTTACAGATGATAGGGAGAGGGCGACAACTGGCGGCGGCAGATCTGAAAAATTTATGTTTAAGTGGAAAATCTTGGCGATCCGCTGGCCCGATCAGAACGAACGGTCAGAACGTATCTGTCATTATTGGTTTATTGATTGCCCCGACCTATGGGCTGAAATTCACTTTCCCTCGAACATCATGATGCCTCGCACTCCGGAGGACGTGGTTGAGTTTTTCCATATCTTATGAATCTGATAGGCCACTCGTTACGCTGATTATCTGGGACCGGGAATGGGGATGGGGGTGAAACGGCGACTCAGTTAGCGACCGGTGGCAATAAACGAACTCGGAGAAGCGTAATGGGTACAATCACAGGCGCCATCGCTGTTGGCAGAAGCTCCGGATATGAGGGATATAAAACCGTTCGAGGTTGGCGCCAGGAAGTCAAGGCCCGGATCGCTGAAGATCCCCACAATATTTGGGCATCTGAGCCTCTTTGGACTCGCCACAAATACGCATCTCAGTCCCATTTCTCCAGGGTAGGTTGTGCCATCCCTCTGTCTCTAGGATCTAGTTTAGCCCACTGAAAAAATCCGCTTATACGCGGATTGCGAAGTCTTGGTCGAATTTCACCAATTCGCCAAGTCCGAATATAAACGGATGGCCCGTTGGTATAATATATCGATGGGTTTGTCTTCTGCTTTTCCCAATCTCATTAGAAGCCTAGGCTTCCAAGATTCATCCGACCTGGCAATGTTATGTCCTGTCGCTTCAGACCTACCTTCGACAGATCCCGGTAGCCCAATTACCTTGCTTTATAAGGATTCTTTTCAAATCTATGTGTTTCCCGAATGGTGGTCTGCAGAGACCTCTTTGATTGGTATCTCGAAGACTAAGTGGATTCTGTCCCTGCGCTTTCAGCGTTGATCTGCTATGATGTCATGGCAGTTACTATCTCCTGCTGGTATTTGGTGCCTAAATCCCCGCTGCAGATAACCCGTTCTTTCTCCAGGTACACATTGGATTTCTTTAACTTAACGGATCGCCAAGATTTTCCACTTAAACATAAATTTTTCAGATCTGCCGCCGCCAGTTGTCGCCCTCTCCCTATCATCTGTAAACCAAGCACTAAATGCCATCTTCAACTTCCCTATCAATAAATTGCCTGCTTTATTAGCTTCGTGAACGGCAAGTCTGGATTAAAACACCGAAAAAAACACAAATTAGGGTGGAAATGGCAAACATATGCATAACAGGGTTTAAAAAAAACAGTATTTTTCGGTATTTCCAGAAAATTTGAAATCGGGAATTTTAGCCCCGCCCAAACAGCCAGTTCAAAAATCCCCGATTTCGACTGCCCCAAAATTCGGCCAATTTGCCTGTTTTTAAAAACCTGTTTTTTTACCCCGATGTGTGTGTGGTGGCGGCCACCACAAACTGCTTGCGGTACGTTGTTCCTATTTTCGAGAGGAAAACGCGTTTTAATCGGGGATACTCCGCCCGCCGCTGTCGAGGCGGAAAAGCCACAGGCCGCCGAAAAACTTGACGTCGAGGAGGTCGTCGACCTCGACCTGGAGTGAAATTTGAAAATTTGGGTGAAATAAAGAGTGTTGCCCTATCCCGTTCTCCCGCAACGACACCATACGATAACAATACAGTACACTACTGAAAACGTCCGTAATGTTTAAGACGTCACTCCGACAGACGGTTAGCCGGTCGTAAAAGATAAGGAAAAATGGCTGGGCAGCCGTTTGTACGATTCCGTACGACGCGGTCAACCGGCCCCAACTGGGCTGCCGCGAGATCAGGTTGGCTACCTGCTGTTCATATTCTTGAGGGGCACGGCCCTGGTTAAATACAACCAGCTGGCCCTGGAGGATCAACTGGACTACTCCAAAGCCATCAGGAAGTTAGGCTTGTACTTCCTGAAGCCGCTGGATCCTATGACCACTCTGATGATAAATCTGGCTACAAGCCTATACTATACTATACTAACGCAACCTATTGATCACCACAAGCTCCCATGGGTTGAGCCCTTAAATGGTTTCCCCAAAGTTAGTGAAAATTAGTGCGCCGTGTTAAAATCGTACCTGGATTCATTAGCATCAAAAAAACGGCAATTTGTGAAAGCAGGACATTGCTACCATTTCATCAAAGTCGTGAGGCACCCTTTACATTTTGATGTGGGATACACTCATGCTATCAGCTTCTCTACGCGATAAAATAATAAAAATGGTATGATCGGGAAAATGAATGCACAGAATTTCTACATACTACACAAAATAGAAAATAGCATCTTACGGCTCCCTCTCTCTCTCTCTCTCTTTCTGCCTCTATATTTTTTTGGTGCTATCTATAACGGTTCTGCTGCTCATAAATTTAGGCGGCAGGAACATGAACGTATATTTATTACAGTTTTCAGACATCGTTACATAGTTTCTCGAGCAGAGCTTCACCCGGCCTTCGCAGTCTCGATGTTCTTTCCCTGGAGCTGAAAAAACATGAGTTTTTTGGAACTGCGTTTTCTTACATTGAAACGAGCGATGGTGGGCAGAAGCATCTTCCTGCAAAATGAATTATAAGCAACAATGTTCGTAAAATCCCACCAAAAATAATAGGATTCCGTGTCGTAGTTGACATTATGCCTGATACGGTTGATGTGAGATTTTGATCAATGGCCGAGTTTCCCGGTTGAACGCCGGGTGATCTTTTAGTTTCCTGAAAAAAGAAATTCGCATAAAATTATAGCTTCTGCATGCGCCATACTTCGTCCGGATGAACTCCTCCATGATGTCGGCTAGACGGCCTGCAAATTTCGCCCCGAGTTGCATGTGACGTTCCGGTAAAATTAAAAGTGGGTCACGTATCTAAAAAAGCATTAAAGATTTTAAGTCATGTGACAAATTATAAAAGAACCAAAAAACTCGTAAAATTACGAATTTGCCCAAGTCGGTTCACGGCGGCTGAAGGTCTAATTGGTTATCCTTAAAATATGAACTGGATGGATTAGACATTCTAAATAAATAGGTTTTTGCGTTTTCCAAAATATAGAAAGGCATTAAGGTATGATCTAAAGCATAACCCGAAAACAACTATCGAAATGATTGGTAAACTTACAAAAAATTAATGCGTTCGGTGATGCCTTGATTTTCGAACAACATAAACAAGTCGGTGCCGTGCGTGGTCGAATCAAAGAGCTCTTCGCCACCTGCAAAAGCGCATCATCGTATCTCGTTCCTCAAGCTCCACGATGCATTAATGAGCATAAGCTAAACTTGGTACGTCGGTACTCACCGTCTGGAGCATCAAATACATCATTGATCAAGGAATAAACTGTTAAATTTTTAGCAGCGTAATCCAGCGCTTCGTACTGTGCATCGGCCAGCCATTCGTCTAAACGGATTTTAAAAAAAATTCAGGATGAAAGAACCCGTCGTGAACTGCGTCAACTTGCGAACGACGGTAATTCGTTCCCTGGTGCGCTTGGGCTGGTAGCTAAACGTTTCTTAGGTTTTTTTGTTATTTATTTAGCTTTTTTTCTTTTTTCTTTCTTTTCTTTTCTTTCTTTCTTTTCTTTCTTTCTTTCTTTCTTTTCTTTTCTTCTTCGTTTGAGCTCAGTTTTTTACTTACCGTTCCTTGATCAACATCCTCACCACGGCCGAAGCATTGTAGCGCTCCGGGACCTGGGCGTCAAAGAAGTCGTCCACCGTCATCCACCCCTCCTCTAGCTGCTGAACCCGAAAAGAATGCAGGGTTAGGGACCAGACATCACTAGCGAAACGTATGCAGCTGGTCGGTGGGATGTAATCAGCTCGTGTGCGGCGTTGCTGGATAATGGCCGGTAGATGCGCGTGCTTTCTGAAAGATCGAGTAGGCACTGTTCTCGTCCATTAAAGAGCACGTCAACCAGGACTCTTTTGGCGAGGACGTCAAAAGACTTTGCCGCGGCTGGGGGTCGAACCCGCCTCCCGATCGGGAGGCGCGGATGGATACCAGTCAGCCACAAGTGCAAGCCGCGAGGGGGTGAGGGGCGCCCCACCCAGGAAAGGAGGGGAATTGCCTGCCACGGCACGGGCAGACAGTGCACGCGGTCCCTACGTCCATAGGGTGTACACGTTGGGAGTACACGGCCCCTCCCTGCACGTGCACTTTAAAGAGACATTTGTGCCCATTCTTACAAAGCCTCTGTCCCTCCAGCTCATTTTTGCCAACATCTTTTAGTTTTTGAGATCGCAGCTGTTTTCGGTAACTCCCAGGAAATAACTGAAGGACTTTGAAATTTACTGAGCCTGTGAAAAAATCTCGATAAAAATCCAATTTTAATTCCCGTCTAAAATTCTTATTTGCATTCTGCATTATCTGCATTTGCATTCCTCAGCCTAAGCCTAAGCATTTATGGCGGCATTTAACGCACATTATCATGGCATCCAGGGCAAATATTGCAACCCAAACGGCCCACTTGCTCAGCGTTTCAGGTTTCTCCTGCAAGAATGACTCCGCTCCTCTGTGCGCGTCGACGACGGGTGTGAACCAAGAGGTGGCCATCCGCCATCCCTCGTAAATGCCCTGGGTTTTTGTTCAAATAATTCCCAATGGACGATATACCCCATTGTTTTTGCCTTTCACATCGAATTCGAACTCGTCGATGTCGCGATAGCATTGAACTGGAGCCTGCAATCGGGTTGTTCAATCGAGTTATTCAACACGAGGTAAAGGTCGGCAGCAAATTTGGAACACGGATTCGGAATCAACAAAAAATTCTGCACAAGATAGGCTAGGTCTGATTCCGAAACGTCAGCCTGAGTAGGTAAGAGTTTATTTTACCCCCCACCCCACAGCCGAAGGGTCTCAAAGTTTTCGGTATTTTCGCTTATTTTGTCGGGATTTTTGCAACGCGATTCGATAGAGCGTCAAAAAATATACTAAGGGTTTTAATTTGAGCCTACAATAATCCTACTATATATAAAAAAAATAGTGTTTGTGTGTGTGTGTGTGTGTCTGTGCCACTTTGCATGCAACTTCCGTCATTCTGTCCGGAGGATATCTCAAGAGGGGAAGGGTATTAGGCTACGTACGATACGTCATTAGGTGCATAATGGCCCTGAGATGACTGCACGCAGATCAGATTTATCAAAATTTTCTATTTTCGACATTAAACTTGAAGTTTTTGTTGGAAAATCGTCGTGCCTCTTTGCTAGGAAAAAATTAGCATGCGCCGGAAGTTCCGGTAGCCTATATAATTGGCTAGCGAGCGCAGTTTTCATTTTTTGTCATCGGAAATGAAAGAATTCTGCAAAGTGAAGTATATCATGCGACCAGACGGGGCCAGGGTTGACAAAGTCGCGAAGCGGCTTTTCAACCCTGGTGTAAAATAAAAAAGTTATAGCCAAAAACTTCCGGCTGGGGGGTAAAGTAAACCGTAGCCGCCTGAGTTAAACACGTTACAGTAACAACCATTTTACCTTTTTCATGCACTCTTTAATTGCCTGGCTCCCAGGCGTCGTCGTACAATTGCACCGCTCGAAGAGCTGCCTCGAATTCGCGGCCTAAACTTCTGCTGTAATTTTATAAAATAACAAGACCGTTTGGCGAAAAACGTAAAAAGTAAAAAAATTCAAGTCCGGAACTTCTACCTACCGTATGTTTCGTTCGGATGGCCCAGGCAGAAGATGGCGACCCGGAGAACATCATAACGCCATGGAAGAGCCCTGAAAAAATGAGACTTACCTTTTGCTAAGCCGATCTATGCTCAAAAAAAAATACTGAGAAGCCGACTTGGAATACCTTTGAATCTAGGACTTATCGCCATTAGCCCCGCCAGTGAGCCGCCAGCGCTTTCCCCGGCCACCACGATGTTGTTGGCATCGAAACCAAAGTTGTCGGCATTTTCCTGAAGAAGAAACTAATGTTAGCGTGGTCCTTAAAAATGCGAGGAAAATGTAATAAATACGGGCGGGTCGAAAAAACTTACCCTTAGAAAATTTATTCCAAGCAGCAGATCTTCGAGTGCGAGATTTCCCGGAAAATCTTTGTCGCCATTGCTCAAGAACCCTAAAATATTTTCAATTTAGATCAGAGAGCGAGAAAAAGTGGGAAAACGGCGAGAGACGGGGTTTGAGAGAAAAAGAGAAAAGGAGAGAATGAGAGCGAGAGTGAGAGAGACAGAGTGAGAAAGAGAGCGAGAGTCAGAAAGAGAGCGAGAGCGAGAGAGAGAGAGAGAGAGAGAGAGAGAGAGAGAGAGAGAGAGAGAGAGAGAGGGAGAGAGCGAGAGTGAGAGAAAGATGTTAGATAGGAATTGTTTAACATCCACCTTCGAATGCAAGCCGATAATCGATAGAAGCAAATGCAATCTTTCGCGAAGCAATATTTTTGATGACGCCACTGCTAGCATAGTATTTTTTGCCACCGACCTAAAAAAAGTTCTAGATTTTCAACGTGGCTTTCCTGGTACGAGCCGCCGTGAATCCAAAACAGTAGTGGTAGTTTTTCAGAATAACGCTGAAAATTGATTTTTGAAAACTAGAAATTTGGTACCTTGCCATGCTCATCTAAAGGGACTACAACTTTTAGTCGTAAGCAATCCTCGACGTAAATAAGTTGGTAGTCTCGTGCCTAGCGGGTCAATAGAAGGGGGAAATACAGACTAGAAGAGGAATTTGTCAAAACCCACATAAGTCGGGCATGCCGTATTCTCGCGTACGTCGAGTATCGTCGACCAGTTCAGGCGCGGAACCGGTTTCTAAATTGTATTTTGAATGGCGTTTCTAAAATCCCTATAAAATTCCTACACTAATGGGCCAGTGCAAAAAGCAGAACAATTCATTTTTTCGAACGGTTATGGCTTCAACACCTCGAATCTCAGGTCTCCTGACGGCTCCTCCGCATACGGTATTGATTCGTAGACTTCGGCTGTGAAATTTGAGCTCTATTTGACCTTTAGAAGTAAGGTTCCATCCTCATACCTCAACGATTTCCCCCAAAACTCGACCTCTCGACGTTTCGGCAATGATTTCAGGGCCGTGTTTGGGGGTTGAAGTGGCAGAAGCTTGACAAAAACATAGAAATAACAATAAGAAACTGAGCAAATTAGTCATTTTCGGGAAGCGAGGGCGTTTCGATGCCAAGCGCTAAATACTGGAACTTCGGCTCGATAAACAGGAACACACACATGCGTGCCAGCGATAGTTTATTTTCCGGCGTGTCTCGAAAAAGCTTGGACCCGGACCCGAATGCTGCGGAAATTGACACACAAACTACAAGAAAAACTGGATAGGGGTCAAGAATTGTAATTTAAAGCGCACGTTCAGGGAGGGGCCGTGTACTCGTCCCAACGTGTACACCCTATGGACGGAGGGGACCGCGCGCACTGCCCGCCCGTGTCGTGGAGGCAATTTCCTCGCTTGCGGCGTAGGGCGCCCTTTCACCTCATCGCCAGGTTGCAGCTGTGGCGGACTGGCATCCATCCGCGCCTCTCGAGCGGGGACTCGGGCTCGACCCCCGGCCGCGGCAAAAATCTTTGCTTTTTCCAAAAAAACGTCCCTGAACGTGCCCTTTAATAGCGAAGAATTCGTCCTTTTCAGAACGTGCTGCAGAATACCAATAATTTTTTATAGGATCCCTAGACTTTCAAGAAAATCGATGTCGCAAGGTAAAAAACTGCTGTGTTGATGCGCTCAAGTTTTTGAACGATTTATCCCGTTTCTACAAGTATCAGTGCATAGTTTTTTAAATCTTTTTTCCGATTACGGACCATTCAACTTGGTTATTGGGTCCTTGAAGGTACCTCCTCCTTCTTCACTTCGAGCTGAAAAAATAGACTCTAAATCGATTAATTTTTGGTCCTTACATTAAATCGCGCCAGCGTGGGTAGCAGCATTTTCCTGAAAGCACATAATTAGCTAACAATCAGAAACATCTAGACCAAAAATAGTACGCCTCCGTGTCGTAATGCGTGTGCTCGATTCCGTTGTGTGTCAGCCGGATTAATGGTCTCGTGGCTCGATTGAATACTGGATGGCCTTCGAGTTTTCTGGAATTGTTTATGTGTTAAATTTAATTTTAATATTAGGTTCTTAAACGCACTTCGTCTTCACGAACTCGGCAATAAGCCCAGCGAGTCTATCCGCAAACCTTGCTGTTCGTTCTGCGTGATTAGGCCTGAAAACAGCTGCCATTTATTATTTTTAGCATGTAGCAAATGAAGGCTTACGACATATAATTCGCTATCTACCGTTTGATCGTTAGCTTTGAAGTAATGTACCTACTTGATTGTATGAAAACCAGTTAGGGCCGGATAATTTCCAAACATTGTCGCCAAGTCGCTGCCATGATCCGTGCAATCCAGTAGGTCATCGCCACCTAGAACTTCGACTTGTCGGAGAGAAAGGGAGAGAGCGAGAGAGAGAGAGAGAGAAGGAGAGAAAGGGAGAGAAAGAGAGAGAGCTACAGAGAGGGCGAGAGAGAGGGAAGAGAAAGCGGGGAGAGAGATAAAGAGAGGGCGCGAGAGAGAAGGGGGAGAGGGAGGGAGGGTGCGAGAGCGGAAGGGGACCTTCTGGTTCGTCAAAAACGTCATTGAGCAGCGTATAAACGGTCAGATTTTTGTCGGCATATTGGAGGGCCGTCTCGTGCGCCGACGTCGTCCATTCATCTAAAAATTTCAAATTTAAGACGGTAATCAGACATTTCTTGAAAACTAAATCCTGGCTATTGATGCATAAATGACATCCATAACTAACCATTTGACCAGTGGCTCAATTTCCGGATCGTCACCTGGTCTGAGAATTTTTCGGGCAGGTATCTGAAGAATTCAAATAGAGGCAATAATTTGAAGGGAGTGGTCGTTAAGTCGTTTTAGGCTTGTCGACTTACCGTTCCTTCAACAACAACTTTACAGTAGCCGAGGCGTTGTAGCGGTCGGGCACCATTTCGCCGAACCATTGCGGTATCGAAGTTCCGTAGTGGTTTAGGTAAGTCACTGAAATTCTCGATGGTTATTACCACTTTATAATAGTACAAGTAAAATAGTGCTCAATTGTGTCATCGGAATACAATACTATCTTTTAACGCTAGTACTTACCTAAGGCCCGCATCATCGCCATCTGCTCATGAGCAGCGTTGCTGATCAAGATTGGGAGATGAGCGTGTTGGCTGAAACGTGAAATTTAACGCCTACGCCATGCTACAAAATACGTATTTCCAAACGTGATTACGTAGCAATTATGAAAAGGTCATAAGCTTTTTGCATGCACTACCTGATCAAGTTTTCCAGCTTATCGGGAAGCATCGCATCTTCGCCTCTAGAAGCATCGACGATCGGAGTAAAAAGCGTTTCGCCCATCCGCTGGTTTTCGTACGTTCGCTAAAGGTTTTATACTTTCAAAATTGTGTTTCAGTTTTGAATAAAAATCTAGGAGGTGACACCGATCACAACTCACCCCATTCTTCTTTCCCAGACGATCCAATTCGTTCTTATCCCCGGTGCGGTAGCAGTCTATTGGGGCCTGAAATTTGCGAAAGGTTACCGAAATAGCATGATTTGAAAAAAGCAATTTTTAAACCAGCGTTAGTTTATTTGCTTACCTTTTTCATGCATTCCTTAACGCTTTTCGTATCGGCCGTGGCACTACAATTGCATTTCGCAAACATGAACTTTGTGTTCGCAATCTAAAACCTTTGAATTTTCAGCAAAATTCAGCAAGAACAAGCTACCGTATGCTTGTTTCGAATGCCCCATGCCGCTCCGGGAGTCCCGGAAAAGAGCATAGCGCCATGGAGTAAACCTAAAATAAGCTGTTACATCTGGCTATGTAACTTTCCAATACCTTTAAACCTCGGGCTAATCGCTGTAATCCCGGCGAGCGCTGCGCCTGCGCTTTCCCCAGCTACGACGATGTTGTTCACGTCGAATCCGAAGTTGTTCGCATTTTCCTGGAATTGGAATATCGTTATCACTGAAAATAACTGTAAAATCGCCAACTGTCGATGCGTAGTCAAATAGGGATCGTTTTCATTTTTAATGTCCGTTTAAACTTTATAAAACGTCTTACCCTGAGAAACTGCAGTCCGCTGTAGATGTCCTCGAGCGCCAGATTTCCGGGTATCTCCGGGTCGCCAGCGCTCAGAAAACCTTAAAATTAAAATTTAAGTTTGTATTTGGCTTTTATCGACGTTTTGGGAGGATAAGCGTGCAAATTTGGATGTTTTTCCGTCGCCCTCTCTTTTTAATATATTTTGACTTACCTTCAAACCCAAGCCGATAATCAATCGAGGCAAAGGCGATTTTCCGCGATGCAAAATGCTTCACTACTCCCGTGCTATTGTAGTGGTACTTGCCGCCAAACTACAATATAAGCTTTTGGCCAAAAATCTGCATTTCTGACGTGGTAAGAGCCGCCGTGGATCCAAACCAGAAGAGGCACCTTTTCTTTGAAACGCTAGAAATCAGTGTTCTTGCAAACTTTCCAGTAACCTTCACCTTCCCGTTTTCATCCAAAGGTACCACAATTTTTAGGCGTAAGCAGTCTTCTATCGCTTTGAAATCTTCGGCAACCTGGAACATACGGATTGGCTAAAACTAACCAACTAAATTCTTTCAAAAAAAGGCAAAGTTTGCTCAAGGTGTCCTAAAAATAGATATAGATTTTCTGCAGCCACTTACTGGGGTAGAATCCACATGCGTGGGACATTTCGTCTGCGCACGGACGTCGAGGATCGTTGACCAATTCTGACGAGGTACTGGCGTCTACAAAACGGTCTTTTATGGTGATCACTCTCTCCCTCCCTCTGCCTCTTTCTCTCCCTGTCTCTCTCTCTCTCTCTCTCTCTCTCTCTCTCTCTCTCTCTCTCTCTCTCTCTCTCTCTCTCTCTCTCTTTCTCTCTCTCTTTCTTTATCTCTGATACCTCAAATCGGAGCTCTCCACTCGGCTCCTCGGCATACGGTACCGATTCGTAGACTTCCGCAGTGTAACTGGCAGCCTGAAATGGCAGCCCGAAATTTTGTCATACAGTATGCCCTCCACCATTTATGTTGATTAGTTTCCCACCTGCACTATCTCGCCCAAAATTCGCCCTATGCTCGTCTCGGCAACGATTTCAGGGCCATATTTCGGTTCTGCCTTAATAGTGGCCGAGAATAAAAAAATAGATAGAAATGGAAACATTTTGTGAAATCCTGGAGAACGCGGGAGGGCCGATAAATATTGCCCCCGCCGCCCAAGCGGATAGTTTATTTCGGAACTATCAGATGCTCGAGCGCGGTGGACCCGGAACTGATGGAGTCGAAAATAGCAAGACTGGAATTTGAAACTTAAACTTGAAGTCTAAAAGTTAAAATCCTAAACCTGATGTGGCTCATTTTTCAACGTTTTTGAAATGTATTTTCATGCCATTTTTTTTTGCAATTTTTAAAAGTGTCGGTTCTCGGCGAGGAGAAGAGCTAGAGGGACGTCAGATACACCATTCGATAGGATTTTTCAAGCAGTTTCGGGGGTAGCTGATCATAAAATTGCTGCGAACGCGTAGGCGCCAGGATGCCCGCATTGAAGAAACTTTTGGCAAAATTCGGGTAAATCTTTTCGGCATTGGAACTCGGCATAAATTGAAAAATTGCAAGCTTGTACTTTTCCACCTTTCCCAATTCCCGTTCCTAAATATAAGCAAATTGACAAATTTTTCACAGGTTCTTCAAGCTCTGCTAATTCGCCCAAATTGGTTGCGAGTTTTTCTAAATGTCTTTTTTTTTGAGGTACGGTACCAGTTCCACAAGCCGGAAATAGATGTGGAAAAACTAACGCGATCACTTTTCGACAGCACGTTTTATTGGGGTGTGAATTTTCTCTCGTGCTCAACAAGTTCATTTCCGTGACGAAAAGGAAGCTGTTTGAAGCGCTCATAGTTTACTTCCGGAAAAGAGGCGAGGTTTGGTGGGAACGTCAAATCAGGAACTTAAAAAAGGGCATAACGTAGTCGGAAGTGTTGAAAGGGAAAAACCCAATTTCAGATCTTTAAAGGGGCCAACAAGGCAGGGTCTACTGGCCTTCTGGCCTCCATGGTCACGCCATAGATTTTTCAAACTTACTGTAGTGCTGAATTTGCTTAATATAAATACAGCAAGAGTTTCTAAAGCCTTTTTGATTTTCCCTGAATTTTTTTGAAGTTGAGAAATCTTTTTAAAGGCTACAGAAAATCGATTTTTGGCCAAAAATGCAGGATTTTTGACCAAAACCTCCAAATTTCCTAGGTTTTTAGGTAATTTGTTCCACTTGAAATATTTAATTTTACTGGAAGTCTAATTAAAGCGCTCCGTATTACGTTGATATTCTGTTCCCCCCGATAATGCAAAAGATCCGCAGACACGACCTGATAAAGGGATGAAAACTGGCAGGTATCGTACTTACCGTTATTTCCTTAGAGCACTACTCCTTACTAGGTGGAACAGGAAAAGCAGACTCAATTTCGATAGTTCATGGCTATTAAAGTGCACAAATTACGACAATTTAAGTTTCATTCTCAATGACCAAAGACAGGCCATCAGCTGCTTTACGATACCCAGAAAAATTCGGAGAATTTTTATTGTACTTTTGAGGAACCACGGCGTCACATCTGGTGCTTGAAATTTTTAATCGCCCTTGTAACATCAAATTCTGGCTAGACATAATTTCGCTTAGATGTAGCTTGTAACCAAACGAGACAAACCTCTAATTTTTGGCTAACACTGTGGACATCGCGCAACATTCCTCGAAACCACGTGAATACTTATCATCCTGCTTTCACACGAAAATCTTAGCCCGACGTTAAGTTACACTGAACGATCGGGCGACAAACTTTCTGTAGCCTGACAATTCATATAAGTACAAGCACGGTGGGATACCCAAGAACACACGGCGGGCACAAACACCGCTACCACGGCCTCAACTACGCATTTTGCAAAATCCCCCACACGCCTACTGACACTCCCGCGGTGATCACAAATTCGGCAGATCCGGGTAACCCAGGTTTTGTTGGCGCCAGATTTTCCCTCCTTTACCATGACTGCGGAGAATTTTAGCCCTGTAGACTGGATATTACTAGCCAGGGTCCCGGTCGTGATAGTCCATCATATAATTTGCATACGCTACGCCGTCAAGAGGAGAGAGATCTCGCCTATCGTGAAGGTGGTTTTGGTGCGTTTTTAAGAATAACATGCTAGGCTACAAATGTTAAATCTTGCGGGAACGCGGCCTAGCTTCCTTGACAAATTACAAAAGCAAAGACAAACTGAAAATCGAGATAAATTAATTAATTATTTTTAATTTGAATTTTCGAATTTAATTTTTATATTGCTAGATATTTTTATATTATTTAATTAATCATTTTACTGTAATTAGCTAACTAATTGTCTATTTTTCAGGTTATAAACTCGCAACATTGATTTTCTAGTTTTCTACTTCTAATTTTTAACCAGATACCAGGATTCAAAACATGCAAAACTTGATTTTTAGACGATTTTCGCGCTCGACTTGCTGAATATCTTCCCCGACTCACTGCACGACTTTTTGGCCAAGTTGTTAGGGCGCGAAGTATACTGTAAGTTTCGCCGAATTTGACCCATCCCTGGAATGATCAAAATACAAATTTTATCCTGTAATTTCAGCCGATATCCTCCTGAACTTCGTCGTCTTCACCCAGGGTCAGCGCTGGTTAGCACATATTTTTAGAATAAAAAAAATCGATATTTTTAGGTACGGTATCCTGGGACTTGTCTGCTACATGGCCTTTTTACACCTGTGGTCAATTTACGATTTTACCCATTTTCGACGGATGCCCAGCAAAACTTTTAATATCACTATTGTTATCATCTTGCTTTTGGCAGCTCGTATGAAATTTTTTCATAAACTGGATGACGAGGGTTTTTCAGTAGTATCACTCCCCTTGATTACCGATTTTGTCGGATTCGTCTATAACATACCAGGTTATTACTGGGTATTTGAATTCGAAAGGCTTGGATCGATTATCTATTTTTATTGGAATTGGATATCGCAGGTACATTTTTAGAGGGACGAGGAAGGCACAGGAAAAATTTGCATAAAAGCTTTTCAAGCTTGCTGAAGCAAACTAGCAACGATTCTTTAGGAAAACGTTAAGCAAAAGCTAAAAATAAATCTTTTTTCCAGGGTTTCTGCCTGTTCTCCATCATTTCTGCCGACCTCTATGTCATCTATTTTCTACAAAGGAATCGACTTCGCCGCACTAATAGACTATGTCGAATTATCAGTGTTTCTTCAGCAGTTCATACAAGCGGTACGGTAGCGCTGTCACCCGATAGAAAATCCGTCAACCTTCAGAAACCTCCAAAAATTCTAAACGCTCGTTATCTCGAGTTAGCATTCAACTACAAGCGCATCCACTTCCGGTGAAAAAGGTTCATTTCTAAGCAATTTAAAAAAATCAAGATTCTTTTAGCAACAAAAACGCTCTGTCGAGAAGCACCTTGCTGTTTGTTTTATTATATTTAGTTTTTTCTTCCTGTTGGCGACCGTATCCTTCAATTTTTTGGGAGGGTAAGCGAAACTTGATGCCTTAAACAAAGATGGAAGTGAGAGAGGAGAGAGAGAGAAAGGACAGAGAAAACGAGGGAGAGAAAGAGAGAAAGAGAGAGAGAGAAAATGAGAGGGGGAGAGCGACAGAGGGAGAGAGGTCGTGAGAGAGCGAGAGAGACAGAGTCGTGAGAGAGAGAGAAAGGGACTCGACAGAAACATAGCGGCAAACTTACTATTTTTAGCGTCAACACCGTCACCGTACAGTGTATCCAAATGACCGCCAAATGGCTGGAATACTTCAAATTTACTCCTTATATTTTGGTGCTGCGGCATTAATCATAAATAAATTATTATGCTTGGTTTTTGCCAACTTCCGGCTTTAAAATACCAGCCAGTTTTTTTATTATAACAGCCAAGGCTCGGTACAGATTCCTCACAAAAATTTGCTCTGAACTCAGCGAAGACCTTGAAAGACAGGTGGAGCGGAACTCGCTCTCCGCCTACTTAACTAATTAACCTACTGCCTAAGCAGCACCTGCTGTTTTCTCGGACAATCCTTGGTAGTTGACCACGACAATACGCAATTATTCTCATAGGTTATCTTGCATTTGCCAAATCTATAAATTTCCAGTTTTAAGACTGGGAAATTCTATCTTGGAGGCTCCAGCGGAAAATCTAGGGTTTCTACTAAGGCAGTTTTAGGCACACGGGATCCCTGAAAATGAAATTGTTTAGTGGTACTTTACGCTATATACTTTTCCAAGAATGATTTTTTAAATAGACTGAAGGAAGAGCATGACTAGCAAGCGGGTCTTTGGAAATTCGTCGTATCAGCAAACCATATTTTGTGTGCATTTAAGAGTATTTTCACGGTCTCTGAAATATCAGAAATACGTATACGGTAATGAGACCGACATTGAAGGTATAAATGCTGTAAATAGCCAAAGGATTTGACTCTGACAATGTCAAAAAAAATATATGTCACTCGCTTTCTCTCTCTCACTCTCCTTCTCTCTCTCTATCACTCTCTCTCTCTATCACTCTCTCGCTCTCTCTCTTGCGCGCTCTGCTCTCTCCTGTTCACTCTCCTTTCTCTTTCTCTTTCTCTTTCTGCTGTCTGCTTTTTGTCTCTGTCTGCGCTTTGTCTCTCTGCGTTTTCTCTCACGCACTCTCTCGGTTGTCTCTTTTGGCTGAAATTCTCTCTCTCTCTCGATCTCTTGAAATCCACCTCCATTTTAACATGTTAAGGTACACTTTCAACACGACTCTGGTCCACATGGAGCATTCACAAACCCGTGATTGGGCATGGTGCGTGAAATTTCTTTAAAAATTTTGCAAGACGTGGAAAAAATTCGCACGCCCATCAAAAAGAGCCTGCGCCCTAGCACCCGTCCCGACACTTCCGATATATTCCAGGATCCGGATGACCGTGAAGAACCTAACGATTTTGGAGTGGCTATCACTGGCTAGGCCGCCTGGAATCATCTTGCACCACTTGATTTGCATAATCTACGTTTCGAGGAGAAAGACGGTTTCTCCGATTGTGAAAGTTGTTTTGGTAGGTTAAGCACAAAATACAAAGCTTCAAGGGGGTTCTAGTTCGTTAGCGGGGGGGTTATCAAGGGGAAGTTTAAAGCCGTAGATTTTATTTGTATATACAGCTCAAGGTCGTGTAGTTGAAGGTTAAGAAGCTAGTGACAAACAATATCCCCCATCCCGATAAACCTCGCCCTCACCCCCACCCCGCTAACGAGCCAGCACCGCCAACAGTATCAAAAACTTAAAGAACGGGTTTAGGTAATCTTCCTCCTTGATCTCGGCAACCTAATCCCCGGGACCATCCACAATCTGATGGCCGAATTCAACGAGCAGGAGATGTTTCGTAAGTTCCCAGCTTTTTTTGATTATGCTCCAATTCAGCTCCCTTTCTGGTCAGCGTCTGTGTTTTCACGCAAAGCTTAAGATGGTAAGACCAGTTCCCTAGCTAAAAATAGTCAGAATACATAGGTACGGAATTATGGTGCTTGTTTGCTATATCGCCTTCCTGCACCTGTGGTCCATCTACGATATCACACGATTTCGACGGATACCGGCGAAGACTTTCAACTTGAGCCTGACCGCTTTGATGTTGCTTTCGACAGGTCAGTTTTTGGGAAAATCCGTAATTTACCATACATGTATTATTTATCGAAAACCGGCCGCAACGCAACTCCTACCCCTCCATGTTTTTTTGTACTTTCATCTCCTTAAAAAATATCTCGCAAAATCTGGTAATTCTTACGCACACGTCACGTAATTCAGCCCAGGCCTATCCACGACGCGACACGTTGCGCGGTCGATCCAATCCGCATTGAAAAAGAAAACCAAGGGTGGCGATCACCTGTCCGAAAAACACCTGTCCGAAAAGCATCTGTCCGAAAAATCGCCTGTCCGAAAAATCGCCTGTCCGAAAAAACATCTGTCCGAAAAGTCGCCTGTCCGAAAAATTGTCGAAAGTCTCATGACGGATTCCCATATCCGCATGATTCCTTTCGAGGGAAAACCATGGCGTAATCCAATCCGGGTCCCGCCGCGGGGCGCTCGGGAGGAATTTCCTACCATATCCGCCCCCGGCTCACAGGGTCCCCAATTCAGTCCCGCGATTTATGGGTAATTCTCACGGGAACTGAACCCTTGTCGCTCGTTGATCCAACACCCTGTTCTGGACCCCAATCCCCGTGACTAGCATTGCTGGCGCGCGGGCGATTGGGTGTCTGATGAACAATGACATTTCCTCGTGCTCCCAATTCTCTCGTGTTCCGGTAATTGTGTGTCTACTAATAAACCTTTTGTCTCTATTCCTTTTCTATATTGGTAATCGCATTGTAAGCATTGGGAGAATCACAGAAATACTAAATCCACTGAACAACCGATGCCTCTGAATGGGGTTACATCTCTCATAAGGGTGACAGTGGCAACCTTCTTCATATAGTTGATCATATCCTATATGGGGAATGGAGTGTCTCCCTTATGACATGGTGCGTCTGGGATTCGACTCGTGTCTTCTTTGTGTTCTCCAATATAGTTTCCACCTTTTTTCCAACTTTAGGTTTTTTTGTAAATACATTTAGCGAGGTAAGTTTATCCAGGTTTGTGTGCAATGGCAGTATCGATATGCCGTTGCCGGGCGGATTTCGTCCCTCCCAGAAGGGGATTTCCGCGGCCGCGTCTAGTCCGTGTCGACTCCTCCCAGAAGGAAGGCCGGATGAAGATTGTCGCTCCAACGCGCAACGACGTCGACCAGGGACCAGCCCAAGCCCATCATCGTCAGTGGGCCTCGAGCCTCCACCCCTAAGCCTGACTGGACGGGGATCGGTAACTGCAGGGGTTGGCAGGGTCGGATGGAATGATCCGGGTATGCCGATTATCCCCAAGTGAGGGTTTTATCCCCACGCCGCGGTCCGGGCCGTCCAGGATATGGGCACGGTAAGTCGTCCGAAGGGGGATGGTGGTGTGCTAATCAAAGGTACACAACTTTGAATAGACCCACCGCTAAAACCAGAACCGCCGTCGGCCAACGGCAAGAGATTGGGGAGCAGCTCGGTAGTTTGCTTTCGAGCGGCCCGGCTCCCCCATCGGGAAGGTATGCCAACACTCGATGAGCCACGGGCTCTGGTAGTTAGGCAAAACCTCGTCGCTTGAAACCAAAACCGCCGAAGAAAGAAGGAGATGCTACGAGTGTTGGACAACAAATTCGACAAACCGGCAAGATTTCGGCATGGTCGGCTCACGGAAGGCAGCAACAATGTGACGACATCGCTGTTGTTGGAAGGGAAGTTGTCCATGGGTGCCAAATTAGGTGTTCTTGACGCTTGTCGCAGGAATTACTTGATTTGCGCATTTTTCTCTTGCAGAATCCCATCAAATTCAGCACCTACGAATTTCGTATTGACCAAAAACCTTTGCTTTTTGTACCAAAACCGAATTTCGATGTAAAAAAGTCATCCAGTAACGCAGGAACTAACTGCCACTTGCTGTTTGATGTTCATTCCCTTTTTCCGGAATGAAAACATCGATTTTGAAAACAAAACCGAAGGAATAGCTGCAACCCGTAGCTTATTTTTTCAAGAAATTGCAGCTGTTGATTCTATTTATAGCGTCCTCAGCGCAATTTTCGAAGAAATCATTTTTCTTCAACCAATTCCATGATCAGCACAACGTTTGCTTACTTTCCAAACGAGCGAAGAGAAAGAAGAAGGATTTCTCGAAAACAACACGGAATTCGCAAAGTTTGGACGCCTAAAACACAAGGGGTGTACGTACTACACCGCCGGGGTACGGCAGCCGCTGGCCTAGCGGACAACCCCCCTCTCTCGATTTTCTCCCAAAATTTGCGAAGAGGAATTCCCTCGCCCGTGTGTTTCCGATCCTTTTTTCTGTGAAATTTCCTCATTTCACCCTTTCTCTATCAAATTGCTCTATTTGTTGCTGATCATGTACCCAAAACGAGGTTTGAACCAAAACCACTTTCTGATCAGTTTTCGGCAACAATATGAATCCCGTATTGTCCGTTAACTGGGGAAATCTTATTTCCTTATGTCAGAAAGCTTGAACCAAGCCAAGAATTCGGCAGTGAACGTGGCGATTGCTATATTGGTTGCCCTCTGCCGATATTCACAACCAAAACGAGTTTATCGACGTTGAGCGACATTTCTCGCCCTCGAAGATGAATTCAACAGGACAAGTCTTATGATTGCTGTTGACGATTGGCTATATTGGTTGTCCGCGTCATAAGATTTTACTGTATTTCCCTCAGGTTCGACTCTCACGATAGAATCAAACAGTCCCTTTGAGAGCAGGGAGCATAGTTTCACCGAGTGTGAAATAAGGTTCGCGGCACGCATTAGTGTGCGCTCTCAAATTTCAACGCAAAACCGTTTGGGAACAGGAGCATAATTTCACCATGCGTGAGATAAGGTTCGCGGCATGCATTTGCATGCGTTCTTCAAATATCCAATACCCGTCAACGTGCCACAAGCCGAAACGTGCGCCCAATGGCCGAAGTTCGTCGGATCGCTCGCCAGAAGAGCTCGATGGGCGTCAAACATCGATCGTCGGCGGCAGTGCAGCGATCGTCTAGCTGTAAAGTCGCTGGCGTTGATGCGAAATGTTCAAGTTCGAGGCTGCTGGCGCCGGAGATGATGCTCGTCGCCTTTGTGCCACGGCGAATCAAGACTTCTGTGCTACCGATCGTTAAAAACGAGACGTGGGCAGCAAAGTCTGCGCTGACAGGTCACTCTACCCAATACCAATCTTTCCCTCGATGTTCGGCACGCCAATAATGTGATTAAATGTCACCTCTTATTGATAGTTGCTTCCCTAATTTGTATAGGAACATCGTTGAAAAAACCCCAAAACGAGTAGAAATTGCGTGGAGTTAGCAATTCGCTAACAAAACGTCGTTTTGAGCTCTATTGCGCGTTGGCAAAAACGAATTTGCTATTCGCGAAGTCAAATCCGCGTTTAGAAGAAGGAATACGATTCGTTTGTCGCTAATTCGTTGGACAAATTCGTTTTAAGCTTGGAAACCTCGCGTCTCAGGCGGCCAAGCGTGCAATATCCAAAACCAGGAGCATTGATTAATCCATTCAATGTTTCCTTTATTCTATTTCCAAAACCAGTATGAATTTAGGTAGTTTCAGGCATTCGGTCGTACTTCCGGCCAGCTTGCCTGCTTACATACCTCTATTTCGTACACAGAACCCAATTCCTCGGGCGTAGTCGTTCGTTCCAACGAGCGCGCGCTCGCAATATTTATTTTTGTTCATCGAGCAAGTCTCGCGCTGAGCAAAAAGTAAATTAACAATGCATTTTGCATTACCGCGCAACTTTTGAAGTTGCTGCGGAATCCCAAAACCCAGAATCAGCACCTTTCGGCGGAAAGACGAGTGCAAAACACTCCCTTTCACCTTGCTTGCGCAATATGTTTGCAAAAGCGAGCCGTCGAATGCAAATACCAATACCAGCAGCTCATTCGTACGCCGGGCAACTCTTGGATCGACTCTACCAGCCCGCCGACATGTGTTCAAGGATATCGTGAAGCTTCTGCGCAGCCTCTACGGCCGCGAAGCGTCGATACCTCGTTCGAGTCGGTGCTGCGCGTCATGGATGGCGTCGATGGAGGTCTGGCACCGATGATTTCTGCATTTCTTTGCAAGTAACCATTTGGCATACGTTTCTTGACGACATGAACTCCGTGTTACGTCGAGAATACGTGATTTGTCAATTGTTGCTAACCAAAACCATGGTTAATAGAGAATTCTGTTTTCCATATTCAAAACCAAGGGGTAGAAAGTAATTTCCTTTGGTTTGCGCGCTCATTGAGTCGAACCTGAAATTACTTTTGCCGCTCAGAACCAAGTCCCTTTTTGTCTCAGAACCAATGTCAAGGGTCTTGTGAGAAGGGTTCGTCCCCCTCGCCGGACCCCGACCCTACCTAATATCCAAAACCGGCCACGTACGCCAACCGTTCGCCTACCGCTGCATGGTCGACTTCAACACTCGCGTCCAAGTCCATGGTCCATCCACAACACTCCACCTATCGGTCCAGCAGTGCTCAAGCGTTCAAACAAGTACGTCCCCTTCCCCGAACTGTTTCGGCAGAGGTACGGGCCTCCTTAGCGCCGCTCAGTTTCCCACCGCTTTCGTTTTTAGGACCCATCTCCCACCCCTAGAGTTTCCTGAATGTCTTGGCCCTCCCGCCCCCTTTTATATATACACACAGTTTCCGTTTCACTTCCTCCACCATCCACCATCACGAGATGTCATACCCCTATCGTGTATTTAAACCAATTCCTCCTCACCGGGCCCCAGGGCTTCTCACCAGACCTTTCTACCAAGCCTACCGCACCCCAGTCCAGAGGGTTTAACTTATACCTCTACTGGGGGTCAGCTCAATCTGGCCCACATCGGCACCCAGGCCGGAGGGCTCTACCCATAACTCCCCTGGTGAGGCATCGCCCCGTCCTTGTGGGCCGGAGTGCTGTCTCATGACGGATTCCCATATCCGCATGATTCCTTTCGGAGGGAAAACCATGGCGTAATCCAATCTGGCCCCCGCCGCGGGCGCTCGGGAGGAATTTCCTACTATATCCGCCTCCCAGCCACAGGGCACAAGCACAGAATACACACACACACGCCACAGCAGCGCACACAGGCAAGGCAATCCTTCTCTAACCAGTCCCGCGATTTGGCGGTACCACGGAACTGAACCCTTGTCGCTCGTTGGATTCAACACCTGCCCTGGGACCCCAATCCCCGTGACTAGCATTGCTGGCGCGCGGGCGATTGGGTGTCTGATGAACACGACATT